TCTGAGCGCCCGGCGAGCAGAGGAGCGCCCCCTGGCTGGGGGAGAAGCAGCCTGCCCAGCCTGCTGCGCGGTGCAGGAAGGGTGCCCTGCTCCTGCTCCCGCTGCCACCATCCCCTGCTGCTGTCCCCTGCCCGTGTGGGCAGCTGTGAGCCTGAGCCGCCGGCTGTCCAGTGGGGTGGGAGGGGTGGGTGCTGGGGGCCGTCAGGGCGCTGGTCAGGAGCCCATTGCCTCCTGCCGTGCGCGGTTGGCCAGTTTGGCCGGCCTCGTGCCGTGTGAAATGTGTCCATATGATTCGTGTCACTATGGAACAATGCTAGGGTCGCACGATGAAATACGACCTTCTGTCTTACATACCCCTGTATAACTGCAAGCCTAAAAAAAAAACCAGGAACTGGATGTATGTAGCTCCTGTATCTGGCAGGGGTCGCCTGATAGGCATTCCGGCATACCAGCTTAAACCGGTCTTATTGCTAACCCAAGCAAGAGATTATTGCTAACCGAAGCAAGAGATTATTGCTAACTGAAGCAAGAATTGTTGCTAGCCAAAGCAAGAGATTATTGCTAGCCAAAGCAAGAGATTTTTACTAACTTATTGCTAACCGAAGCAAGAAATTGTTGCTATCCAAAGCAAGGGACTGCTGCTAACCAAAGGAAGAGGAGTTTGAGAGATGCCTATTTCTGGAAGATATATAAACCAGAAAAAGGAACTGTACGGTGTGCGTCTTGGTGGAGCGGAGACTCCCGGCTCACCCAGCGCTGTTTGCTTGCCTCTAGTCGCTTAATAAATTGTAAACTTTGATTTCAACCCTGTTTGGGACTCAGTCATTTATCACAGCCGGAAGGCCATGGACTGCACCGGCGGGCGTTTGTAGGGGTGTTTGTCAGCCTTGTCGGTGGAGTAGTCGCCTGGGGCAGAGGAGAAGCAGGGCAGAGCAGTGAAGCTGGGCCCTTCTCCTCGGGCCCGAGAGGCAGGGTCCGGAGGAGGGAGGTGCTGCGCCCGGCTTGTTTCCCGCCCGGCACCTTCGGGGGCTCCGCCGGGGGGCAAGCTGATGGCTTTGTGGGCCAGCAGCAGCAGAGGTCAAGGGGAGGGGGCGCTTGTCTTGCCCGAGCGAAGGGCTGGAGAAAGGGTACTCACTTGGCCTGGGGGCGACCTGGGTCTTGATCTCGGGAAGCCTGCAGATGTGCTGCACTGGAGCCACGTAATTCCCGTTCCTGGCGATGGAGGGCTGGATGCAGTAGCGAGGGCCCGGGGAGCAGCTGTCTGCGGCGGGAGGCTTGGCCCCTTGAAATGTGTAGGCAGGGGCCTTGGCTTTGGTGGGGCTGTGAGCCAGGTAGCCCGGTCCCCCTGCCCTTGGGGAAAGGAGGGAGCAAGCGGCTGGTGGGGGCTTGTCTGCTGGCCAGGGCCAAGCCTCCACTTCCCAACCTTGTTTCCCCCAAATGTGGTGAAACACGGCCCGGCTGCAGGGCGAACAAGTGCTGTGAAGGAGCTGTAGCTGCCCGTTGCGGTGCTTGCAGTCACCGGCACCAGGGGACCCCTGACCCCGGCCGGAGAGGTGAGAATGTTGAATTCTCAGCTTGGTGCTTTGCATCTTTGGATGCTTTCCCAAGAGGTCTGTGTCAGGATCTTAACCCTGGACAGGAGCAAGAGCCCAAAGCTCTCCTTTCAGTCACTCTGTCTTCTCCAGTCGAGGGACCCCATGTCTGCAGCGTTTCTTTTTCACTCTTACTTTATAGTCATTAGTTCCTAAGCAGGGAGAGGAAGAAGAAAACAAAGTAATTCTGTGAGCAGTTCCTGGTGCTGTTGGCTGGGCAGTAGCAGGTGTCAAACGATGTTTGGTGCCTTGTGAGCTCCTGCGAGACTGGGCATCCCTACTTTTTATGTTGTCTTAACACTTGACAAGTGTCTGTGTTCTGTTTATTTTCTGCGCCAGACAATGTTTACAAAGAGATGAAAAATACAAGTGCATTAAATAAATTGAAGCTGAAGGAAGTGCTAAGCTTTTCATGTTTGAGTATTTGGACTGGCAAACACAAGCAAATCCCTGTGAGAAGTGACCAGGATTGGTGATGGTTTGCTGATGGCACGCACATGTTCTGTGCCTTTCCATCAACGCAGGTCCTGTATGACCCCATTCCCAACTCCTAGCTGAGTTTCCTATTTTCCAAAATGCCCGTTTTATTTGTTCCGTTCCACTAAATTGTTCACACTCACGTTTTTACTTCTGATTTCCAAGGAGAAACATTTAGGTTTGGTTCAGAACAAAGCAACAACTGCCACCATTTTTCATGCAGCGTTCAGTTCTGCTCATATGGGAAGAGCTGCATCCTGCTTTTAACGAACACGTTTATTGTCGGACCGATTCCTCAGTAGGATGGGAAGTACATGGACATTCCCGTCACTCCTTCTGATCTGGTGAACCCGTCGACCTCACAGGTCCTGCGCTGAATTGCTTCCGTGAGCAGCGGGAGCGATAGGCCATCCAATACGCTCCAATGGGCGCTTGTCTATGGCGATTGCCTGCTCTGCTCCGGGGCAGCTCCTGTGACCAGAGCGGTATTCCTTGGTATTTACTTGGGCAAAACGGGCAGGGATTTGGAATCAGGTAGCACTGCTTGCCTTCAGAAAGGCCTGCCGGGATCCTTCAGCAGGTTTTTTTTTCCGGGACCCTTCAGCGGGACATCAGCATCCTGAACTTCCACATGCTGACCCCTTCCCAGCCAGCAGCCATTTCTGTAGGGCGTGCAGGTTCCCTTGGGCCCGGCTGCCCGCCGTGTGCATTACGCACATCCCCCTCAGCCGGTTGGATCATTCGTCCTCTGCGACCAACAGGCCGTGGGTAACACTAACGAGCAGGCCGTTGGCTAGCACGCAGTTCCTTCATGCTGCCCTCTGCACTCACGTGAGCCAGGCTTGGAAACACCAGGCTGCACTGTCACCAACGCGCCCTAAGACCAACCCAGGCACAGGGCAGGCTCAAATGTGTTCAGGTCACAAACAGCCACAACCACACAACAGAAGCCCATGAGAAACAGGGGTAAACAGAAATCAACCACCACCGACAATATCCAACACACCACAGGTCCGGGGTGTCAGTCGGGGCATTGCTATGACAGGTCACTCCGACACACCACAGAAAGAGGAACATCTCACTGAGCAGGAGCATGGAACCATGTGCAACAGGATCTGGCGGTGAGAAGGAGCTAAGGAAGTATTTGCCTTGTCAGCAAACCTCAACAGGAGCAGGTGACAACACCCCTGATGAGGAGACCACTGGAAACACTTGGAAAAATTTGCTTTGGTCAAGGACCGATTCCCTCAGGTCATTCTGAGTGGAAGGAGAAGAAAAAGACCTTTACTTATAAAAACAGACAACGCACATAATTTTAAAACATCATCTGAATTTTATTTAGAACTTAACACTAGCTCTACAGAAATAAGATCTGAAACGGACAGGGAGGTGGCGGGGGGGACAGCACTTGGCCACACAGCTGCCGACATCCCAGTTTTCTCCATTTCTCGTATTTGTTGTTTTCCCAGAGGCTTTGGGTATGAGAAGCTGGAAGCCATCAAGAAGCATTGTCAGCAGCTGGGACAAATATTTCTACAGCTCTAAGCCTCTGTCCGAAGCAGTTTCTGAAACAGAAGGTAAGAACAGTGAATGTAGCTGGGGAAGTGCCCCCCTGCAGAGGGAGGCTGGGCTTGGCTGCTGAAGGCAGCACCGGCCTGAGGACGGAGGCTTCCCCTGCCGCCCACCGGCGCTCATTGGGTCCGTACCGGGCGCCAGCATGGACAAAGAGCAAACGTCGCATGTGCCAGCGCCTTTATTCCTATTACCTGGGAGTTTTCTTTCACCTGGGCTCCGTTCCTAAAAACATGCCTGCGTGACGCAGGTCCCTCTCCCACCAGGCAGTTAGCGTGCTGTAAATTCTAGCCAATGTAAAAATCCTTGTCCTGGTGGTAGAGACAGCCTGTTGTTTAGCGAGCTCCTGGAGCGCTCGCAATGCTGGTGTGCAGCCAAGCCTGAGGCCAAGGGGTGCTGAAGTTTGAGTATTTGGGCACTCTTTGCCCAGACACTGGCAGAGGCCAGTTACAGACACTTACGATAATAATAAAAGGAATGAATTACCAGCAGGTCAGCGAGGGCCTTCACGTGCTCAGGAGAAAGCTTGTCAATGCATTCCTTTAATGCGGTCAAAGCGGCTCTGGTCACGTCATCGACCTCGTATTGGGAAATGGGGCCGGCGTAGAGCTGCTCAGCAGAGCCTTCAAGAAGGGTCTGGAGAAAGCTGGGGACAACCTCGTGAGTAGAGCCAGCTCCTGGAGCATGGAAGGCAAAGTGGAGAGTAGTGAACAAACCTTCGCTGCTCAGGTCCGGCGGCATCTGCCACTGCCCCCCCTCTTAAAGGACATACAAACCACGCAAAGCCTTTGGGGAGCACATCCTTGGCTTTGCGGGGTTGGGTTTTGTTAAAACCTCCAGAGAAACGGGCGGCCACTGCAGGAGCTGCTCCGATGCACAAGTTCCTGGTGGAATTCTGCCCTTGGTGGAAGAGCTGCTGCCTGCCTGGTCCTCAGCCCTCTCTCCCCTCCTCTCCCCTCCCTTCTCTCCTCTCTCTGGACCCAGCTTCTTCTCAGGCTTTGTGGGATGTTTTTGCTCTTTTCCATGCACCTTTCGTTCCTTACATCATTCCCTGTTCTCTAGCCAGATACCAAAGCCCGTTCCGCTCCCTTCCCTTGATGTGTCCGTGTGTCCGTCGCCCAGGCTGTCTGTAATGTTCAGTG